ACCACTGACCACCCAAAATCAAAACAAGCGGGTCCTGTATCAGATCAGGTTCTCTAAAAGCAAAAAATGATGAAACTGGGGCGGCCTTATTTTATGACCATCCTGAGAAGACAAGACAATGATACTAGGAGAAGTTGAAAGCAGCAGGAAATGAGAAAGACCAGCCATGGGTCGAACTGACTTATTAAAGGAAGTTTGCAAAGAAATTTCTTTGAATTATGTCAGCCTCACCTGACAGAAATTAGGACTCTGTGGAAAGAGTGTTATTTGGCACTCTATGTAGGAAGTGTGTGTGTGTGTGTGTAAACAGATTATAATGTCTCCTTTCTTAATCTTTCTAAATAGATGTGGAACACCAAAAACCATATAAGTCAACAAGGGGAATGTGAAGTGCTCCATGAACTCTTGCGTAATTTTGAATTATTATAATGCTTTTCTTTTATACAAACACATCTGTTCATTGCCAGGAAGGGAGTGTCACATCCCATTTGCCTCCTAAAGGAATTGGGGGTGGGGAATAGAGGAATTTAAAGATAAGGAAAAGTCATGAGAAAAACAATGCTGACATTCGCTGATCTGCAAAGATGACTGTTCCCATGAAGATGCTTATTCGTAAAAGCAAAATAATAGTAAGCAAAGTGTAACGCTTAAAGCACTCTCTGGGAGGCTTACAATTTAATTATGCAGGTTGCACATAACAACAAACGCTGCTGACGGTGGAATTCTCTAGCCAGATACAGGTCTGAATTTAGAGAGATACATCTGCTCAAATGCAATGTCCGGTGCTGAGTCACATCACTTTTCCACACTGTGGATCATGCACACGCCTGCAGCACCATTCACTATGTGTACTTACTTACTGTGTAAACAACTAAGTGTAAAAGGCATCAACACCAGTGTCAAACGAGCACTGCCTGAGTTTGCTTCCTCGAGTGTGTGGTGCAGGCATTCTGGGCTTGCTCGGTGTCAGCCTTGTTTTGAGTCACTGTGAAGAAAGATAAGGGGACTGCAGTTTACTCCTTTGTAGAGGGAGACCAGCCCATTCCACAGCGTGTAACAGCTGTTCTGCTGATTTAGGAGCCTTGAAGCAGAACAAGCTGGACCATTTGTGCAATGTTAAACAAAAACGGGTCAAAGATTTTAAAACAATATATAATGGAGAAGCAGAATAGAAATGATTCTCAGAATAAAGGACTGCAATTAACGGTGAGTACAACAGAAGGGCGTTATGACAAAAGCATGGATAAGTAAAGCAGAAATATTAGATACTCTTTGGAGCTCAGCAAGAGCCTGTTTGATGGGGTGAGACCGGAAACCAATAAATTTTAAAAATGTGCTAGGGTGCGGGATTGTGCTTGCAGACCAGTTCCCCAAAGGCAATAAAAGGACATCATCCTGCATGCCCTGTATCAAATATATCGTACATTGTTTTTAAGGAAATATTTTTTTTAAAATGTTGGTTTTGAGAAAAGAGCTAATATGGCAAGTAGAGAGTCTTGCCAATTTTTACTTGGCAAAGATAATTTTTAAATTTTATTTGTTTCATTTGTGAGCCGGCTTTCTCCCGGATAATGCAGCTTATAGGTGGCCAAGGCAGCTCACAATATTAAAAGAACAGAACTAAAAACATAGTTAAGTATTTAAAAAAATTAAACGGTATGCTAATTAAAGAAGAATTGAATAATTAAAAGTGAGTAAGTGTTAGGCATTCAGGGACTTGATCCTAATTGTTAAAAGCGTGCGTGAAGAGATGGGTCTTCAGCTTTTTTTTTTCCGGAAGGATAAGGGGAAGGGGCCCTTCCTGGTCTCCCGAGGGAGAGCGTTCCATCGCCTGGGAGCTGACACCGAGAAGGCCCTTCCTCGGGTGCCCCCATCAGCTGGGCTTGGGCTGGCAATGGGACCGAGAGGAGGGCCACGTGACCACGGAAACGGTCTATGGACAAACGCTGGCTCTACGGCTTGGAGACGGGGATGAGCACTGTTGTGTCATGGGATCAACCTTGCTGTGTCCTTCCAGATTTTCGCAGTAGCCTGGTGGATGCAACAGCAGCTGTTACGGATAACTTCTCTCCCTCCAATTAGCATGGATGCGAGGTAATTGGGGTGGGGGCGGAAACCTTCAATGAGAGGCGGGGTTTTATGTATATATATGCGTATGTGTATGCATGCTCTTTTATCCAGTAAATCGTGTGGAATTACTGCTGTGTCCTGATTCTTCTTTGGGCATCCAGCGCCACAACTTAACAAGCACCATGCCCTAGAGTCAGACACAACTGGACTAAATGTCAAGGGCAACCTTTACCTTTATTCTTGATATTCAGAAAACCGTTAATGAACTTTGTTTAAAAGTTATTTCCTGAACGTTCAGAACCCTTTTATTGCTGTCAGGGCACAGTAAACAGCGAGTGTGCTATTTGACATGGTGTAATTTTTCACCACTGCAGTCAACATTTATACTTAAGTTTTCGTTGACAGCAGCTTCCTAAGAGGGTAACCTATTCAGTACTAATTATGCCACTAAGAGAGTATGAATTATTTCATTTTTCTTATTTTAGACTGATAGTAATAGATCTCCTTGGAACAACATGGTTAATGTGTTTATGGTTTGTTTCTGTTTCAAATATTGGCCATTAACTGTAATCCAGTTTATCTGTCTATCTTAGAACTGTGTATTTTGGCTCCGAAACTTGCTTCCAATTCCCCCCCCATCTTTTTTGTTTCTAAGAGAGCAGGAGCTGCATGGCTGTGATGTTAAACATTCAAAGCACAAAGCAAGTCTTCTTCTGTGGAAATTCTGCCTGCCTAAGGGTGATGATGTCACTCACAGGAGGGGATTAAAGGTAAAGGTAAAGGTTCTCCTTGACAATTTTTGTCCAGTCCTGTCCGACTCTAGGGTGCAGTGCTCATCCCCGTTTCCAAGCCACAGAGCCAACGTTTATCCAAAGACCGTTTCTCTGGTCACATGGTCAGCGCGACTAGACATGGAATGCTGTTACCTTCCCACCGAGGTGGTACCTATTTATCAACTCACACTTACATGCTTTCCAACTGCTACGTTGGCAGGAGCTGGGACTAGCGATGGGAGCTCCCGCCGTCACGTGGCTTCGATCTTATGACTGCAGGTCTTCTGACCTTGCAGCCCAGAGGCTTCTGCGGTTTAGCCTGCAGTGCCACCACATCCACGGGGTGGATTACCAGCAATTAAAAAGTTCCTGCTTTGAGTTTGGGGGAATCACTCCACTTTCACTGTATTTGTGGGCGAACCTTGGAATCAAAGTGCAAACTCTTCAATTTGCAGCAACCTTCCCCTACTAGATGATGATGCCAGAAGCAGCGAATTGCTGGTAATTAAAAGAGTGCCTGCTTCAGGCCTAGAGTTCACCCAACTTGTGCACAATAAGAGGGATGGCAGGCAAGCTTAATGCAAGTCAGGTGGGCGCCCCTTCATCAGAGCAGGCACTCTGATTACCAGCAACCTCCCCCTGCCTGTCACATTGTTTTGACCTTTTGAACCACCCCACTGAGCTTAAAGCACTCTCTGTAGGGTTTACAATATGGTTATGCAAGCAACACTTTATGAAGTTCTAATTTATTCATTGGAACTCTAGCCAAAGTTTCTGCTTTTCAGTTGAGTGGAGGTGCCTACAGACAAGGGCTCTTGAGTTCATTCCTTGCAGCAGTGCACTTTCGTTTTTGGCTTTCTGAGAAATCCCATTAAACCTTCAAACCATTTCTGTGGAACTGTATCACCCTCTTGAGCAAATACCTTGTGATTGGTCAACAATTTTCAGACTAAGGCAATATAAAGAGCCCATATCTTATTGCTTAGCATCATCCCCTCAGAAGTAGATAACGTGAGGAAGCTGAAGAAGCCCGGCTGAAAACGGTGAGCCATTTCTTCCTTTTCTTTCCAATGAAACATTATTAATTTTGCTTATAGCTCAGTTTCTCACTAAGTAGGAAGGTGTCCTATCATTGATTCATTCGCTCACTTTTCACTCATTGTCAGAGAGTCTCCAGAATTTCAGGCAATGGAGACCTTCAGAGTCAGTGTGGTGTAGCGGATAGAGTGTCAGACTAGGACTCAGGAGATCTCAGCTCAAATCCCCTCTGGGTCACGGAAATTCTTAAGCGGGCATATGGCAATGGCAAATCAGTCTTCAAATATCTCGTATACCTTGAAAACCCAATCCGACCCATTATAAGTTGGAAACAACTTGATAGGAAGTTAACACAGAGAGCCAGGCCTGCAGATCCAGGAGTTTGGACATGCAACTGCAGTTCAGCTCTGCTGCAAAGCATATTTCTTGGGTTTGCTTTTTGGTTTAGTTCTCATGAGCTTTATTTGATATCTTCTTGGTTGCATTTTTATCCTGCTTTTTCCACAGTGGTTTGAAGGGAGCCTCCATGGGGATCTTCTTCCTGCCTTTAACCTCACAAGAATCCTGTGAGATGGATCAAGGCATGAAGAAAACACCACTGACTCAGGGTTGCTCCTTGACTTTTACTGGCTAAGCCTGGAGGTTCCACATTCAACAGTCAGACCTTGGTAACTCCCAGTACAAGAAATTAGCTTTCCAAACCGCAGTTTCAAGTGTCAAACAGATGTATTTTTAAACCAGCATCACTAACCTACACTCCTAAAGACATGTACTGGACCCCAAGGACTGACTCTTAAGTTAAATCTGACTAGGACAGGGAATTTCTTAATAAATGCTGATTGCCAGGGCAAACGTTTTTGTTACTTTCCGTAATTTGCAAATTTGCTTGCCCCCTTTTGAGATTTCTCGTGCCTTCATGCCCTTCCTCTTGAAAGTCTGATTTCTCAGACACAACAGATGGGCCACAGTCATATCTCTTCAACCCTAAAGGGAAGGCAGCTTTAAGAACAGGTTACCTGCCCAGTCAGATTCCCTTTTGAACCACACTTAAGACTGTGCCACACCATCCTGTCTCTTCAACTATGGGATTTTTCTTCTTTTTTTCTCTCTCTCCTTCAGACCCACCTCTAGTCTGGCCGTTCCAATGGATCCCACAAGTTCCTATGCCTTTCTAGTGAGAGACATTCGGTCCCTTGATGTCACTGGAAATTTCAATCCTTGTGAGCTTCTGCTGACTGGAGACCAAGCCTTCCCGGTCCTTGTAAGTTCCACGAGACAGCCGCTCATTGCCGCGTCCCAGTACGGAAAAGGGCGGATGGTGGTTGCCGCTCATGAAAACATCCTGCAACTTCCCCAGTTCTTGCCATTGGTTAAAAATGCCCTGGAGTGGCTCAGGCCTTCCTCAGGAGCCCAAGTGGGGGTCCACCAAAGCATGGATGCCCTCTCGGAGATGCTCCTTGGCAGTGGGGTCAAAGTCCATCCAGGGGCAGCGCTCGGGGACTCCCTCGGGGTCTACTGCATCGATGCCTACGACGATTCACAGGCGGATGAGCTTGTGCGGTTTGTAAAACGAGGTGGTGGGCTGCTCATTGGAGGGCAGGCCTGGCACTGGTCTTCCATGCACGGCCAGGAGAAAGTCCTGCAGGAGTTTCCTGGGAACCGGGTGACCAGCGTGGCCGGAATATACTTCACTGGCAACGTGGGAGAGAACGGGGTCTTTCCTGTGCCCCAGAACATGCCAAGGATTCCCCTGATCAGCCAGTAAGTATCCCTTTTGATTTAATGTATCACCCTCAGTTCTGTTGGAAGGCAGGTATGAGAACGTTCCTAGCAATGCACACTATATATGCTGTCTATTGGTGGACCATTGGCCAATTGTAGTCAAGTTGGTTTTCCTTTCCAAAATGAGATGGGGGAAAAAAACCTTGGTTTACTTCTCACTTGGTCTAAACCAGACCGAACCCATTCCAGGGCCTTGATGCCTCTCTCCCTGGCTGTGGTATGATTTACCCACCTAGACCTTGGTTGGTGATGGTGCCCTTGGGGAAAAGTGCCTTTCCCAGGGACTTTTGGTTAGCTAGGATTCTGCACAACATCACACCCTGTGATGGGGGGATTTGTTTTCCCCTGCCCTGCTCCTGGCTTTCAAGGAACACCGGTGCATGGCACAGATCCTGCAGTCCCTGCTCTCCACATGGCATAGGAGAGAAAGGAGGAAGGGTGTGAGATTTGAGGACAGTTGAATGAACAGAGGGTGTAGAAAGAGAGCCAGAGAACAATGTGGGGGTTGCAATACCTGCTTTGCGGCTGAAGGATCCTTTCCAAGCAAGTCTGGAAAAAAAAATCCATCAAGCAGGTATTAATTTAATAACAGGAAGCAAGATTAGCTCTTCGTGGTATGTATTCCCAATATGTCTTCTTTTCTCTCCCCCCCCCCCATAGAAGTACAACTCCTCCATTCATAGCCAAGGGAAACCATGGAAAGTCTTTCGTAGCTACTTTCCCACCTTAAAACTGGCTTTTGGTACACTTTCTTCACCTGCCATCACTATGTGCAACTGCACCTACCCCGTTTCCCCGAAAAAAAGACGGGGCTTTATATTAATTTTTGCTCCAAAAACACATTATGACTTATTTTCAGGGGATGTTTTATTTTTTACATGTACAACAATCTGCATTTATGCAAATACAGTCGTGTCATCTTCTTCTGGTGGCTGCACGAGGGTGGAGGGCAGGATTTCACTTAACTGGGGCTTATTTTGGGGGTATTGCTTCTTTGACGAGCATCTTCAAAAATCATACTAGGGCTTATTTTCAGGTTAGGTCTTATTTTAGGGGAAACAGGTTGGTTCTCCTGTTTCAGATCATCCTTCAATTGTTGCCAAGGACTGAGTTATGCATTTAAGCAGCAGCATTATACTCGTGGGTGTTATTGTATGTATGGTATTAAACAGTGCAACAAGGTGTACCTTATAACTTGAAAGCAGCAGTTCCCCACCTCTATTTTGCAACGAAAACAACTTTTCAACATGTGGCATTTAGAATAACTTTACACAGCTTGGATTATCCCAACAGATGCTTCCAAACAAGAAAAAAAATAAGGAAAAAGCAGAGTTTAATCAACTTTTTTCCCCAAGCAAGGGGGTAGAGCAAGGCAGACAGAACAGCTTCCTCTTGATGGCAGCTGCTTTAGCAGAGCCATCAGGCTGAGCAATAAAATTGATTTGATCGGCTGCAAAAAGGACAGGGGAGAGGCAGAGGCTTAAGAGCCAAGGGTGTAATGCATTGGTAGGTGATATGTTCTCTTAAAAAGGTAGTCCAAGAATCATCTTTCTGAACCACCTTGTCTTGCAAACTCTTAAAATTCATTTTGAATGTGCATTTCCACTCTTAGTCTATTGTTATTGTGATGCCATCATCCTTGAGACCTGCCCCAGGGAACAAGAGGCTAACTGAGGATTCTTCATTTTCATTTCCTTGGCATTAGGCATGGACTGGACCTTCAACATGATTTAAACACTCTTCTGAACGGCGTCCCCGAGTTCCAACTGCAAGACAGCGTCCCTTCTCGCCTGCTCATCCACGGGGTTTTGGCATTTCCAATCAGCATGACCGATTCCTATGAAACATTCCTTGGAGCTGCGTATTATGGAAGAGGACGTGTTGTGGTTGTAGCACATGAATGTCTTCTTGACACACTGCCAACAGAAACGTTTCTACTCAATGCCATCCACTGGCTTACTGCTAGGAAGGGAGGGAAAGTTGGCCTCGGAGGTGACTTCCAGACACTTTATTCCATCTTAAATCGGGCCAGGATCCTGTGTGAGCTCACCACTCTTAAAGAGGGCCTGAGTGTCTACTGCTGCACAGCCTACCGCGACGAAGAAAGGGAAAAAATCCACGAATTTGTTTCGGAAGGCGGCGGTCTTCTGATCGGAGGGCAGGCTTGGTACTGGACTAGCCAAAATCCCAGCTCCCAGGCCATGGCTGAATATCCAGGGAACAAAATACTAAACAAGTTTGGAATCGGAATTACTGGGGAAAGTATATCAAGTGAAAGCTATCCAGCAGGCCAGGGTAAAGATGTGGCGTCAAGCTACCACTTTCGGAAAGCACTCTCCCAGTTCAGGGAGCACATCCTGAACAAGAAAGCTCTACAGCCACCGTACATGTGGCTCAAGATGCTAGCGCCAGATGCCTCCACCTTCTTAGAAATTCCAGCTGCCAACTCCCGTCCTTTCTCTTCTGTTCACGAGGACATGGGGGAGACCGTCCAGATCCGTGGGATTCCTGATGTCAGTGCGAGCAAATCAATCAGCTCCTCCTCGGATGAAGCCGTTTTACTCCACTTCGCTTGGGGACTCTACAACGTTGGGTCAATGGCGCAAACTATCTGGATCAATGGCACAAACGATGGTAAGGCAGATCCTTTTTAAAAGGTGGTAATCTAGTTCATCATCATGTTTTATCTCTATTATTTCTTTGGTGTCCTGCTTGCTTCACTAGCTGAGAAGGTTCCGATAGCACCTTTTCTGGGCATGTGCCTGATCACGTGACTGGACAAATTTCCCAGTCATGCAATAAGCAGCAGTTTGCCACCTCTAATCTAGGTTAAATAAATGATCAAAGGTTCTGTTTAATGTCTACCATAGATTCTGCAACTCACTGATTTTAAATAACCTCTTTTGGCTTGGTTCATAGGAGAAGAAGCATGGAGAAGCACGAGGATGTATGTCCCCCCAGGAAAGACCGTGACCTTGATCTTCCCATCTGAGGCCACTGGTGCTAAATTTCAGGTAGCGTTATGTCAATATTTGAAATTTAGGGTTTTATGAGAATCTAAAAGGATCATGGAGGGGGGAGCCCTTAAAAGGTAAAGGTTCCCCTTGACATTGTTGTCCAGTCATGTCCGACTCTAGGGGGCGGTGCTCATCCTGTCTTCAAGCCATAGAGCCAGCGCTTGTCCGAAGAGTTTCCATTGCCACATGGCCAGCGTGACTAGGGAATGCCATTTTACCTTCCCACTGAGGTGGTACCTATTTATCTACTCGCATTTGCATGCTTTCAAACTGCTAGGTTGCCGAGGAGCTGGGACAAAGCAACGGGAGCTCACTCCGTTGCATGGATTCGATCTTACGACTGCTGGTCTTCTGACCCTGCAGCACAGGCTTCTGTGGTTTAGCCCACAGGGCCACCACGTCCCTGAACCCTTAAAAGCAATGTGCAATTAAGAACTACAGCTTGGAACTGCTATTATGAATCGTATGATAACACTTTAAGTGTACTCAAACCAATTGACCACAGATCAGGACTATGTACACAATTTTATGACAGCTAAACATTGAATAGCTTGGACTGAAATAGCACCATATTTTGGAAAAATATGACTAAGTACTAAAAACAAAGGTACCATTGTCCTAACGTTAAAAGATAGTCTAAATCAGTGCTCCCCAACCTTTTCCCAACTGTGGACCTTTTGGGGAGGGGTGGCATGCCCACAGGGCAGTAGAGCTTGCACACATACATGTGCATAGCATGCTCACAGTGGGGCAGAAAGTGTTCACGTGCATGCACATGACTGCACTCGCAGGGGGGTAGGAGATGTGTGTCCGCGGCCTGGTCCTAGATAGGCTGTGGACCGGGGGTTGGGGACCTCTGGTCTAAATAATATTATGTAAACAATTTTGCCAACTTTAGGGAACAGATCAGGATCTGAGTCAATGTAGATTTGTATTAGATAAGAACATGCAGAAATTGATACCATTTAAAATCCTTTGTTAGTAAAACAAGAAGAAATGAATACAAGTAAGAACAGTTCTGAATGTGTTGATAAGGCACAACTTTTCTTTGGCATCCTTCACTCTCGAGAGACTATGGTAACGTATGGAGGAGCTGGAGGGTCCTCTCCAGAGCACGAAGCCTGGGTAAAATAATATGGAGGACAGGCTGTGTTACCCAAGCAGCAAATCCCCCCTCTCCATGTCGCTGAAATGGTCCAATGGAAAGGCAAGAGCCAATACAACTGGTTCCAGCGACATCACAGGAGTTGACAGAATGACACGAACTGCCTCCAGGACTCTGACTCCGGATTTTGCCTCGAGCCTTTTCCATCAGTGGATATAGCCACAAGGCAGTGGAGGTTTGAAATTGGAGTTTTCCTTCTTTTACTCAGTGGGTAAACTAAAGTCGATCTCCAAGTTTTGAAGCCCATGGCCACCTTTAAGGTAAGGATCAGCTAGGCACACCTTATTTTACCAACTTTGGAGACAGTTTAAGATACTGCAAGTTACACACACACACACACACACACTAGTTTAAGATACTGCAGTTACACAAACACACACAAAAAAAGAGTAGTAGCCTGGCCACTAGATGGCAGTGACAGAGTTTAACTTCTTTGGTTCCATGATCACTGGGAGGAAAGCGATGACAAACCTAGACAGCATCTTAAAGAGCAGAGACATCACCTTGCCGACAAAGGTCCACATAGTCCAAGCTATGGTTTTTCCAGTAGCGATGTACGGAAGTGAGAGCTGGACCATAAAGAAGGCTGACCACTGAAGAATTGATGCTTTTGAATTGTGGTGCTAGAGGAGACTCTTGAGAGTCCCCTGGACTGCGAAGAAAACAAACCTATCCATTTTGAAAGAAATCAACCCTGAGTGCTCACTGGAAGGACAGATCCTGAAGCTGTAACCCAGTGAGCTGGCAAAGGAACCTGCAACTTTTGTAAGCACAACGGAGAATCCAAAAAACGTCTGCACTTCCCACCCTCTGAAAAGAGCCGACGGGACAGCGGTGTGCCCCATTCTGCGCAATTACATCTGTCCGCTCTGCGGGGCCCATAGCCGACAAGGCCCACGCGCTGAAATATTCAAACACTCATCATAACTCTGTGCTGCTTCTGTTGGTCTCCTGCATCTCGGTGCCTTGTTCCGGCGCTGTGCTCCTGCAACCTACCTACCAGCCGGGTGCTCCTGCCTCTGCTTGGTCACAACGAACTGAGTTTTCTTTAGACTCGATACCCTGCATGGCAGACAGGGTCTTGGCGCCCTTGTCCCCTGGTGAGAGGCTGCCTGGGAAATCTTGGACTTTGACAGAGTAATTTAAATTGACATTCATTTGAACTCCCCAATGATACTTAACATATATACGAGGCTGTTGGGGGAGGTCGGCAGGAGATTTGGAGCTTTGTGTCACCAATCTGAGGATGACACTCAGCTCTGTCTCTACTTCCATCCTTCTGCAGAGGATGCTGTCCCATTCCTTGAGCACTGTCTGGATGCCATGCTGGGACGGATGAGGGACAATAGACTGAGGCTGAACCCAGGCATGGAAATCCTGCGAGTGTGGGCCACTAGTGTCTGGGTGCCTCCCTCTCCTTCTTTGGGGGGGAAGGCTACTCTTTCCATGAAGGATGAAGTGCGCAGCTTGGGCATACTCCTGGACCCAGCACTGTCAATGGCATCCCAGTGTCATCAGTTCAGCTAAAGATCTGGAATCTGAGGGTTTAATTACAGCTGGGCAATTAGAAGCACAGACAGCTGAATCACCACCAGATTCTCCTCCCCCAGTAGCCAGAGTGAGGGATAAGCTTCAGCAAAGACTCATGACACGAAGGTCAGAGGTTCGCATGGATGCTTCCCACAGGAACATCAGGTCAAATATAATCTGCACCTAACAGGATGGAAGGCTTTGGAGTTTGATGACTGTTTTTGCTATATAATCTGCACCTAGAAGGCTTGGAAGCTTGTGGAAGCAACAAGTCAATACTCTGGCTTGCATCCATGCTCTTGCTTATCTTGGACCTTGTTCTCTAGACCCTTGGCTTTGGACTCTGACTTCTGACTATGGTTTGTGTTTTGGTTTTGGCATTTTGGTATCTGCCTTGCATCTTCTGGACTTCTGATATTGGACTGGCTTATTGGACTTTTGTCTGTTGAAACCCGTGGGAACGTGACACCCAGATAGCGTCGGTGGTCCGCACTGCCTATTTCCATGGAAGGTGGATTGCCCTACCTTGACACCGGGTCTCTCACCACCCTGGTTCATCCACCGGTAGGCTCAAGGTTAGACTACTGCAGTGCTCTCTACGTCAGGGCTGCCCTTGAGGTTGTTACAGAGACTCCAACGCGTCCAGAACTTGGCAGCCAGATTGTTGAGTGGGGTTAAGAAATACCAACACATTTTCCCCACCTTGGCTGCCTTGCACTGGTTACCTGTTCACTTCCGTGCCAGCTTCAAAGTGATGCTAACCCATAAGGCCCTAAATGGTTTGGGACCTCAGATGGTCAAGTGCCTCCTTCTGATCAGTTCTGTCCAGCCTGTAAGATCTTCACAGGCTGGACGGTTGAGAGTTCTGGCCCCGAGGGAAGCCTGAAAAGTGACGACCAGAAACCAGGCCATCTTGATGGTCACCCATGGTCAAGCATGGAACAATCTCCTGCCCAAAATTCGCCTGGCCCCTCAGGTCTGTCCGGCCTGTAAGATCTTCACAGGCTGGACAGTTGAGAGTTCTGAAGCTGAGGGAGACCTGAAAAATGATGACCAGAAACCAGGCCATCTTGGTGGTCACCCATGGTCAAGCATGGAACAGTCTCCTGCCCAAAATTCGCCTGGCCCCTTCATTGGGAACTTTAAAGAAATTATTTTAAAAAACGTGGCTATTCAGATAGGCCTTCTCTGATCTTAAAACACCCTGATATAATAGTGGCTTCGATAATTAACATCCAACCTACCGCCATGTTTCCATTTCATTTCATTTTATTATGCTTTGATTATGTGGTTTTTAGTGTAATTTCTCCAATACATTTTACATTTTATTTAGATGTTGTTGATTACCCTTGTTATTAAGTGATTGTTTGTCCTGTTTGTAAACAGCCCAGTGTGGCTTGGCAGCCAGATGGGTGATATAAAAATCAAATAAACAGATAAATAAAATGAACTTTCTTTCCCAAGAAGCTCCTTTGATATCCCCTTTCTCAGGATGTTTCTTCTGATATTGTTTCAGGAAGAAGCCTGCATATTTTATTGTTGTATCATGCGTTTGCTAAAGGTAGGGAAGGTCCTCAGATGGGCACTGTCTTTCCATGGTTGATTGAGGAACTGGAGTTTGCTATACATAGGAAATTCATTGACTATCTTTATAGAATTGCTAAATCCTAGTATATATTATTATATCTCAAAGCTGCAATGCACAAGTTCTACATGACAGGATGATGGATAATGTCTATATTAATTCAACTTTTTTTTTTACAAATAATATTGTGCAATATTAGCCTCATGAACCCAGCTATCCCGTTTTTCCAGGTACAGATCGGCTGCCATTCTGATAACTTGAGCAACGCCGAGAAGCTGGAACGTCCTCCGGTGGTGGTAAGACAATTCCCAGTTACGAGTCAGAGGATGGAGGTGTCCAGCTTGTGGGGCGGCCTCTTGTACATCATTGTGCCAAAGAAGTCTTCCGTGGGCGCCATCTCTGTCACCGTAGAAGGCGCGGCAATGGCTCCGTATTTCAAGCACGGTGAGAGAACTTCCCCTGCACGCAACTATGTGAAGGGCTGACCGTTTGTGAACTGAAAACTCCTGTCTGAATTCAAGTGGATTGTTAGCAGCAAATTGCCAGCTCTACCTCAATGCCCAATCTAAGGCTAGAAGCCATACATAGCTTGCCTGGTTCTTGACCAGCACAGCAATTAGAGAAGAAAGGTTTAGAAACTCACTCCTTGGAAACAGTGGGAAGTGGGCATCAATCGCGGTAGGCTGGTTCACAATGGCACGTACACCAGTGTGGTTACAAAACAAACCAGCCCTGAACACAACTGTGGGACAAACGCCCATCCAATCGCATCCTAAGGTGCTTTTATTGAGGTATGTTCTGGACCGTGAGGGAACAGTCTTCTAGATAAAGCATTCACAAAAGGCACAGCGCTAGTCTATCTGACAGAATTAATAAACTAAAACCAGCAGGCATTGACTTGAAGCGTCTAAACCAAGGAAGAAAATCCTCAGAATGGCTGTAATCGGTCTTGTACTTGGTTTTTTCTTATTTTGATAAAATCTGCTTTATTTTCTTATTTTGATAAAGCCGACATAATTCAACCCTGTATTATTTTTCAGGCCCTCCTTCAGGAGCTAAAAAAAGTTTTTAAAAATTATAAATGAAACAGGTCAATCGCATTAAAATATACCACATTCTTCGTTCTACAACATACTAAGTTACAATAAATTAAAATAAAATCCAGTTGCTTACCATTTCCAATCAAATAGAATTGGTTGAGGAAAAAGGAGAGTCCTGATATATAGATAACCAGGGAAGCAGTTACATCTGACACTTATAAACCTTGAAAGTCACCTAAAAAGGTTCCTTGGACAAAAAGAATCCCAAGGAAGCCATTGGAGCCACCCGAGTTGGGAAATCAGAAGCTTTTACTGTAGTTGTGTGAAAAGTAGGCCAGGCTGATGATGTCATCAGCCTTGCATGGTGTCCAGTTGCGCAATAGGATTCCTGCCGTTATGCAGTGGGAGTGTCATTTTAATCAGCCCTGATCCCATCCGGTGGGATTGTCCCACTGCGCTATCCCTTAATAGTTCAACTCTCAGATATACTGTTAATCGTTCTTTTCTTTTTGAATACTTGATCAGGTGAAACTAGGGTAAGCGACTGGCGGAACACCATACGCCATTACCCAGCGCCCTGGGCTGAGCTAGAAACTATGGATATCATCTTGACGGTGCCCTCAGACGAGGCACGCAAAATGGACGATCCAGAGACCCTGCTCTCCACTTGGGCCTGGATGATGAAAGCAGTGGCCGAATTGGCCTCCATTCCTCCAGTCTTCCCCAGACCTGAGAGAATCGTGACGGATGTTCAGATATCAGCTGGCAAGTACAACCCAGAAACCAGTTCATGTCATGGAAATGGCAGAATGCATGCAATCCGTTTTCCCATTTTGTCCAAACCTACTAGATTCCGTCCCAAGAGATTCAAATCTACAAGGACGCCAGATTTTTTTTTTTTTTGTCCTGAATATTCTTCAAATTTTTATGGGAGGTTTTCTCTTTTGTTGTGCTTTTTTTAAAAGCACAACAAAACTATACCAAACAACCTAACTGGTGTTAAAAAGAAACAAGTGTGAGGGATCAGCGTACTTTGGTTGGCAGAAATAAGAAGTCAAATATATGGAAAGACAAACAAAACTGCACCCCTCACAAACCTAGACCAATCAAGTGAGGGTTTAGGAATTTCAGTGACTCTAGCATGCTGAGTACTTAAATAAAAATTAGTGTTTGCCTTGAATTTGGAATGTTGTGCTTCTGTACCCATGATTCAAAAAGCTAGGAAATGGCCCAATATTGCTGCGTAATATTCTGCCCGAATTGCCAGGAGGAAAAAGAATGTCAAGCTTTACATGGCCTAGACCAATCAAGTGAGGGTTTAGGAATTTCAGTGACTCTAGCATGCTGAGTACTTAAATAAAAATTAGTGTTTGCCTTGAATTTGGAATGTTGTGCTTCTGTACCCATGATTCAAAAAGCTAGGAAATGGCCCAATATTGCTGCGTAATATTCTGCCCGAATTGCCAGGAGGAAAAAGAATGTCAAGCTTTACATGGCAAAGGGCAACCATTGCCAGGAGGAAAAAGAATGCCAAGCTTTACATGGCAAAGGGCAACCTGAATGTTGACAGCACCCATGGCAGCAATCAAGATGGTCTATAAGACCCCTGCTTGTACTTGCTACCATTTACAAGGTGACACCAAGTGAAGGGGGAAACCCAGAGCTGACTCCTTTTTGTATCACTTAGCCACTTCTTACCTAAACGCAAAGCAATGCTCACAGCTGTTTTTCAGCAGTTGTGAATGGGAGTCATCTGGGGACTGCCTTCCACCATTAAAAAAAAAAAGAAACAGTATGAATGTTTTGAATGAAATGCACTTGAAGACAAAGAGTCAGGATTGCGTTTCCTACTTTGAGTCCTTTGACCGCATCTTTCTTCCACAGGTTGGATGCACTCTGGCTACCCGGTCATGGCAAATGTGAGGGCGATACAAGAGATTGTGGACGTCCAGGCCTTCCATACAAAGGGGATCTGGGGCCCTATCCATGAGCTGGGTCACAATCAGCAGAACGAGGGATGGGATTTTCCGCCCCATACCACGGAAGCCACCTGCAATCTCTGGTCTGTTTATGTCAATGAGACGGTACTCAACATCCCCAGAGGGAAAGCCCATTCAGACCTTCAGCCAGATCTAAGAAAGAAAAGGATTGAGAAATATATACAAGAAGGAGCTCAGCTGAAGAACTTTGAAGAATTCACTGCACTGGAACCCTACTTACAGGTAATCTGTATCAATTGTCATTGAAAGTATATACACCACAAATACAACGAAATTCACAAAGAATACTCAGAGACCAAACCAAACACACACACACACACACACACACACACACACACACACACTCAAAACAATCCCTATATCCCAGAACCCTGCCTAAAACTCATAGTATCCACACAACATGCAACACAACAGACCAAGTAATAGTAATACAGTCCAAAAACTCACTGCTGGTAATTCTTAAGTTCCTTATTTAGTTGCATTATAGCTCTAGGATAAAAACTGTTCAAAACAGAGAACTAGAATGTATTAATGGAGAATCTTAGAGTCTCTCACCAGACAAGATGTTTGATTCCGTAACTAGAAGGAGCGTTCCCTCCAAGTGCCCAAAAGGTGTATCTCTGAAAACACATTGAAAGTGTGTGATTTGCGGTATCATTCATGTTGTGTCTTAAGATCAACTCTGCTATTGTCCCTTCCAGGTTTTAGTAGCAGCCCACTGCCGGAACCTGGAAGGGACAGCAGCTGTTGGGAATAGCTTCCCTCCCTCTAATTAGCATAGACGCTGAGTAATTGTGTATGTGTGTGTGCGTGTTCGAGTTTTTAAGTAAAGTCATGTGGAATTACTGCTGGGTTGTGACTCTTATTTGGCGTTAAATTCCACTATTTAACAATTCATATCAACTTTCCTTGCATATCTTAATTGGGAGACATAACAAAGAGGGTAGATGCTAAGAAGAACGCATCGTAAGTACAGGAATGCATCGTATTCAGTAATGCTTTAGATACTTAATTGGAAGCAGCCCCCATTGAACTTAATAGGCAACTTACTGATGAACAAAATATTTCTAGCATTAGGGTGCAACGTTTTATTTTTGCCTCTATTTTCTCCAGTTGAATCAGATTTATTTTCAGATGTATTTAGTTTACCCTTCTGAAAAAGAAGACAGCTCTCCTATGCACATTTGTATTAAATATCCTCCGCCTTACACACAGGAATTGTTCTGCTGTCCTTTGGAAAATAATTTAACCATTGTTCTTTTCAGCTTCAGGAGGCATTTGGGTGGGAACCGTACAAGCGTCTCTTTGCCGAGTACCAAAAGATGACCAGCGTTCCAACTGACAACAAATCCAAGATGAATCTCTGGGCAGAAAAGTTTTCCCAGGCAGTGAGCAAGAATCTAGCCCCTTTCTTTCAAGCCTGGGGGTGGCCCATTGAGGACAAAATTTCCCAGAAGCTGGCCAGAACCTACCCTCCATGGAAAGAAGACCCCATGATGAAGTACTGGAGATGAAGCAAAGAATGCACACATCTAATTCACCGAAGGACAATTCAATTTTCCAGAATGTTTGAAACATTCAGAAACCACGATCACAGATTCCCTTAACCTTCTCCAAAGTTAACATAGTGTATCTATACCTTCTAATGATTTCATGTAGGACCCAAGTTTTCTCCTCTGGATAAATTTGTTTTCCAATGTCCTCCTTAAGCTGTAGCGACCTGAACTGCAGTATTCCATCGCTTGGCCAAGCTAGTAGAAAGTGGCGAGTCCTACATCGTGGAGGCCATGAATCTGGTCCAGATTTTCTTCTATCCTTTTAAAGGTGCTATCCAAGGTGCTAAAATATGTAAAGTTCAGAATAATAACCAGAGCAAATTCACTGCCCCCATGACATTGGGGTCACTACCCTGACCAGCACCAGTGGGATGAGAACGACTACTTCCCATGCTATGGACCCAGCACTTCTGCCAAGCCGAAACATGGGGGTGTCTGGGGTTCAACGTATCACTCAAGACGGAGACTAAATTTAGGCTGTAACCTAGGCATAATAATCAGTAACATAAATAACTGATCATGATTGATGAGATATAACCAAGAGGATTTCACAACCCTTAAGATAAACTGCATTACACTGTGGACTCCCTCTTATGGCAAAGGCTAGGTAGGATCATAATTTGGCTACAACAGACTATTTCATTGGCATAAGGCACCACATCCATTTATTCTCCAACTTGGGTGACACTGGGATTGCTATGTAATTTGGTGGCGAAACACTTGAAAAGCTTATATCTTAGCCTCTATGAAATGTTAAGCACGTCGTTCTTATGTATCCTTTCCAGGAGTTTGATTTGTCTCTAATTAAGATGCCGGGATTTGCCTCTAATTAAGATGCAGAGCGTCCTCAGTCTGGAAACAATGCAACCGGTTCCTTGCCTCCCGGATTGATAAGGGTCATGGGCTTCACAAAATTCAATTCATTTTTGGAAGCGGTTTCCACCAACCTAAAATGTGCCATGCTTTTGCAACTGAACATAATTTTAATGTTTAATTTTAATGATTAATTTTTTATGATTGAGAGTTCAGTAGCTCTGTTCATGATTCTGCTTTGCTCCATCTTATACTTTCTAGTGATTTTGATTTTACTTTTGTCACGATTCCAACTCCCTCTCCCCTTTTCCTTAATTCTATTTTAACACTTGATCCGACCCTGCAAATTGATTGTATTCTCCTCTTCTGTGTTTTTAAAATATTACTGTGAGCCTTTTGTATCTCACTTTGGCAGAAGGAAGCATATGAACACAATAAGTAAATTCAGTAATTTTACAACCAGCTGTTTACCTGACTGGATTAGTTCCAAGTCAAATTTGCCATTATTTAGTTTGCTACCGAGCACCTGGAATTACTGTCACTCCGTGGATTCTCTGAATTAGATGCTGATGACTGATGGGCTACAGTCTTAGCTAGACTATTTACCTTCATAAACACCTCTGGCATTTTCCCTCATGTCTGGATAACAAGTAATGTTGCTCTTATTTTTGAAAAAAGGAGATCCAATTGATTCGTGTCACCAGTATACTGATGACACCCAGCTCTACATCTCCCTTTTTTCCATCTGCAGTGGATGCCGTTCCGTCCCTTGGGTGCTGCCTGGGGGCCGTTCTGCAAGGGATGCAGTCAAATGGACTAAGGTTGAACCCGGACAAGATGGAGGTCCTGCAGGTGGTGGCCCCTGATGTCAGTGGTTAGGGAACTCCCTCTCTTTTGGGGTGTGTGTGACTCTGACAGGCCTAGAATAGCTCTATGAGAATGGATGAATCAAAGTTTGTAGAAAGAGTCCAAACATCTACTTCAGCTGTGCAAGTAACAAGCTGACCAGTCTGATATAACGCAGCCGCGGAAACAAAATGCTGAGGTAAAACCCTGGAGAACCTAATCTCTGATTAGCCAATAGGAGCAATAAAGTTGATAGCCTCTGAGCATTTGGTTGTTGTTTCGAATGAGGAGAGACAGAAGGAGACACTCTGAAGGACTGATTTATGATGCTGGATATTGCTAAGGACTCTGGATACGTGCTATGGTAACTGGACTGAATTTAAATGCTTTATTGTGTACGACTATTGGAATGGACTAAGACAACTCTGTATGTATGACTCTAACACTACTACAAACAATACAGTTTTTGTTTACCGTAATGGACTCTCATTCCTCTACTTGTCTGCATACTGGTGCCTGAATTGGATAAAACTCTGCTAGGGCTAAGGAAAAGGCACTGCCTAAACCTAAAGTCTCTATCAGACTCTCACCACAAAGTATTCGGTTCACAGTCTGGGGGTCCATCTTGACCCGGCGTTTCTTACCATGGAGACCCAGATAGCGTCTGCCATAGTGGTGGATTGGTAATTGTAGAAAATAATCCAAAAATTCCTGTTGCATGTCTGAGAGGTGAATCTAGTTTTCTTGAAGCTGAAAACCTCTCAGACACGTGACAACAATTTTTGGATCCTTTTCTACCATTTTTCCACTCTCCATTAAAGAATCGTACTGGAGCCTGAAGAAGTGAGATTTTCTCCACAAAAGCTTGCTATTTGTTTGATGTTTTAATGGTCCAATAAAAGTATATTAGTGTAATCTTGAGGAATCACACAGCCTTTCCTTTGTCCTTTGTGTCATATCCCAGCATCCCACAAGAGGGCAGGTTTAGCTAACAATATTCTTAATTTAATACCCTCATGCACGTGGGGCTTCCTTTGAGACGGATGTGGAAGTTTCAGAGGATCCAGAACACGGCGGCCAGGCTATTAATAGGGGTGAAAAAATGTCCCCCTATTTCCCCCACTCTGGCCGCCTTACACTGGCTACCTATCCACTTCCTTATTGATTTCAAGGTGTTAACCATGGACCTTGATACCTGGCAGAGCGCCGCCTCCTGCCCAGTTCTAGCCGTATTACCCACTCCAGTCAGAGTGGGCGGCTGAGGGGCCTAACGCCAAGAGAGGACTGGTGGGAAAAAACAGAAATCAGGCCTTCTCAGCAGGTGTCGGAGTCTTTTAAATGCTGTGTGTACTGCAATAGCAAGGTGCCTCTATCCGATGGAGACTCGCAGTGTTTTGTTGTTGTTGTTGTTTTGTCTCGGCGAAGAACACCAGCCTGCCTCCTGTAGTTTTTGCAAAGCTTTTACTTTCTTTCTCTTCTCTCCCCCCCCCTTTATTTTCCTTTCCCATCTTGGATTAATCTGCATTTTATCATAGTTTATTTTTTTATATTATATGTAAACCACCCAGAACAGACCCCGTTGTAGATGGGCGGTATATAAATCTAATAAATAAATAACAAATAAAATGTAAGAAATACAGAGGCTTTAGGAAAGGTTGAAGCACAATCAATAAAGCTTTCATTCTAAATCACATTGCCTTTGACCTCATAGATAGGGACTGATCTAAACTGGTTGCCCCCAATATTGATTCAAAGTTACTGCCGCTTGTTCAGCTGTTACACCAAAACAAAATACATACAACACATGTATTTATTTATTTTATTTACTGTATATCCCGCCTATCTGGTCAGTTAAGACCACTCTAATTTGTTTTAACTTTTTAAACTAAATGATGTGTTTTAAATTATTTACTTTATTTTTCAACTCCTGGAATTTGTAGAAGAAAAGGGAGAATTGCCACCAACGTGCAGGAATGAAAATAAATCAAAAGAAAACAAAAATACTTCTTAAAAATATGAGAGAACAAGAATGACAGAAATTAATAGAAAGGAGTAACTTTCAAGAAGAGAGATACTTATGGAACCAAATCACAAAGAAAACGAGTCCATTATTCAAAGACAATTACATGAAGTTGATTAAAGAGATACAGACTAGTTTGGAGAGATGGAACAAATTACAGCTATCGCTGACGGCAAGAATAGCAACCATTAAAATGAATGTTCTACCTAAAATTCGGTATTTATTTCAGACAATCCCCATAATATTAAAACAGTCCTTTTCCCAAGAACTCAACAAGATAATCATGAGATTTGTGTGGCAAGGTAAAAAAACACACCAAGAATTAAAATTAAAGCAATGCAAGATGCCAAACAAAGAGCAGGTTTTGGTCTCCCAGATTGGGTCCACTTGGCTTGCTATCCTCAATACGTTTCAGCTTGTGGATCTTGAACATGTGAACAGATCGCAACACCTGTCTACTCAACTCTAAGGCACTGTCTTTCTCAGACAGAAACAGAAGGGAACAAAAAACAGTGTCATTTTTTAGTGTGAGGTTTTGTTTTTTCCTGAGAAACACTGCAGAAAATCTGACAGATTTCTCAGCGATTTTGTGGCCATTTTCTTCTGTCCAAACTGCACACAAATATCAAGGTGTGAGGCCTTTACACAACCTAACCTCATGACAGAAGCAAAAATTTTAAGATATTGAGTCTATTAAAAAAGGATTGTGCGTCAAGGTATAAAGAAGAGTTAGAGACACAAAACATATATCTAGACTGGTGGCCCAGAACACAAGTGGAATCTGGGTATAGAAAAGATAATATACTGTAGGTACTTGATAAACTTCTGCTGGGCTCAAATGATGAAGTAATTAAGAAAATGTATGATTATTTGCTAGAAATTAAAATGCAAGATGAGATGGTCAAA